GTAATTTTTCCCTTGATCTTTTAAAGCATATTTTATCACATTTAACAAGTACATATAACCTAATCTTAACAACAGATTTACCTGCAAAGCATTTTAGCAAGGTATGAATAAAGATTAGGACCACAGTAAGCAAATGTCATATGATCATGTTGAAAAAAAGCTTCCGTAGAACATAAGTAAATGTTCACCAATTTTGTTTCTATCCTTACACAGACAAATCTTCATTGTTCTGCATGAAATCCTGTAGTTAATCATAAGGCTTGTAACTTGGGTATACAAACAAAATGGACCGACCCACATTACCCACATTACTACTTCCAACTTATGATCCATTGTTTATTTGAAGGCCAACTGCACTTTCAGTTTAACCACATGCCGCCCAGCCACTGTAGAAATGCGGCGGCAGGGCGGCACGGCTGGGCAAAACCACGTTTTAAAACGTGTGTTTTTAATAGAGGTAGGGGGTGCGCGCAAGGTGCGCCGCCGCCCTACCTATCCCGCCGATCATGGCCGCGGATGTCAGTCGCCGGGTCACAGCCGGTCGTTACCGGCTATGTCCCGGCGATTAGCGGCAATTAGTGACAGAGAGCACAGCTGCAGTAGCTGTGCTTTCTGTCAGTTCCCTGACAGCTCCTGACACGCTGATCGGGACAGAAGAGTTTATCTGTCCAGATCAGCTGTGTTCCCTGCAGTACACACCCCCGCCCCCTAGTAAAACACTCCCCTCACGCAGTTAACCCTTTCACTGCATAGTAAAGTTAACCCCTTCCTCCCCAGTGCCATTAGTACAGTGTCAGTGGGTTTTTTTTTGCACTGATCACTGTATTGGTGTCACTGGGGATGTCAGTGACCCCAAGTCAGTTCCCCCCCAGTGTCAGAATGTCCGCCACAGTCCCGCAGTCCCACCATAAGTCGCTGATCGCCGCCATAAGTCACTGATCACCGCCGTCCATCGCCGCCATTATTAGTAAAAAAAAATAAAAATCTTAGTATCTTTCCTGCCATTTGTAAACGCTATAACTTTCACGTAAACCAATTAATTTACACGTATTGGGGTTTTTTGTAGGAAAGACATGTCGCAGAATGCATTTAGGCATTTATGACTAAATTTGATTTTAAAAATTTTTTTTTTACTGGACATGTTTTATAGCAAAAAGTCCAAAATATTGTTTTTTTTCCCTCAAAATTGTCAGCCTTTTTTTTTTTTTTATAGTACAAAAAATAAAAAACATACAGGCAATCAAATACCACCGAAAGAAAGCTCAATTTGTGGGAAAAAAAAGATGTAAATTTCATTTATGTACCATATTGCATGACCACGCAATTGTCCGTTAAACTAGCGCAGCGCTGTATAGAAAAAAAATGGCGTAAATTGCAGTATCTATACCATAGTTTGTAGACGCTATAACTTCCACACAAAGCAATCAATATACACTTATTGGGATTTTATTACCAAAAACATGTAGCAGAATACATTTTGGCCTAAATTTATAACTAACTAACTTTGAATTTACTATATATTTTTTATAGCTGAAAGTAAAAAATATTGTTTTTCTTCAAAATTTTTGGTCTTTTTTTGTTTATAGCATGAAAAATAAAAAGCGCACAGGTGATCAAATACCACTGAAAGAAAGCTCTATTTGTGTCAAAAAAAGGACGTAAATTTTGTTTGGAACCAGCATTGCATGACCGCGCAATTATCAGTTGAATTAGTGCAGTGCGAGTAGCAAAAAGAGGCCTGGTCATTAAGGGGGGCAAATCCTCAGCCTCAGAGGGCAAGTGGTTAAATCAGTTAAATACATTCCAAGGGCATAAAAAGGTGTTACAATTCCAGCAATTTAGCAATTCTGCCACCATGCTGTGGGGAAGGATCCTCGCTTTCTGTATGAAATAATGAGTCTTTCCCTGCAGAAGTCTGACATGCCCATTACTGAGTCTAAGGTAGATCATCCAATCAGCAGGGAGCTCTGCATAGTGGTGCAGAGAAAAAGCAGGCATTGCATATTTCCACACGGGCCCAGAGCTGTCTGTGTATACCTGCATTTCTATGCATAGCAACTAAGGATCCATACTTTACTCCATGACATTCCAGAAAAAAGCAGGCACTGCAATCCCTATCCACAGAGAAAAATTTAGTGTTTTTCTTTGTGGATATTGTGAACCCGCCCAAACATGGATGCACCCAGACTAAACATTTAAAATAAATGTTTTATTTGTAAGAAAAAGATATAGAACATCAGTTTATAAACTTTTGAATAAAAAAGTAAAATCAAGTACATCCAAAAATGATTTTACCCCTTTAAAGTAGTTGTTAAGTTTGAAATATGAATAAAGCATATCCCTCTACCATGTGTACTTGTCTCAGTCAGTGCTATCAGCATGAATCACTTCTGGCAAGTTTTTCTGACACCAAGAGAAAAATGGTGACAGGCAGATTGACAGCTTCAGTCCTCAGCTCTGTTTATGTGAGCTGTGTGTGTGTGTGTGTGTGTGGGGGGGGGGGGGGGTGTCCCTTCCCTCCAATAGGCTATCAGAGCTCTTCTCACTGAGCTCCACAATGTGTAATTTCAGTTATCTGCCCCCTTTTTCTGGACTCTCAGACAAGCTTTATACATTTTGGACTTTGAATGGATGTAGATAAGAGAAGACTGTTGATATACAGGTACAACTTATATAGGGGATTTGCTTCATCTCTGTGTATCACCTGAGGCTAGTCACTGCACTGGTTATATGGAAGGGCTTAATCATATATTTAGAGAGTAAGGTAAATAGCCTGTTCTAATACAGTTACGTCAGCTTGCAAAAAGTGCTGCCTGCAGTAAATCATGTCCACATTTATGACAGGTACAGTCTATTTTTTAAAAGTCTTTTAAAATACATTCAAATATTTGTAATGAATTATTTAACATATAAAGAACATGGTAGGTCCCTAACTTCAATAGATTGCTAGTAAATCTCAATGAGAAGTACTGATAGGTCCCTAACTTCAATAGACTGCTAGTAAATCTCAATGAGAAGTACTGATAGGTCCCTAACTTCAATAGACTGCTAGTAAATCTCAATGAGAAGTACTGATAGGTCCCTAACTTCAATAGACTGTTAGTAAATCTCAATGAGAAGTACTGATAGGTCCCTAACTTCAATAGACTGCTAGTAAATCTCAGTGAGAAGTACTGATTGTGCAGGTGAAAGCTGCAGGATACTAATGTGCTGCAGATTTCTTCCCAAATGTAATCCTTGTGTGGCCTTTGTAAAGGACCCATGCATCCAGAAGGCTTTTGTAACTTTTTTTATTGAAATAAAAAAGGTAAATGTGATTTATTTCAAGCAGACAAAAAGATGATTTTATGGGAGTCTGAGTTCATTGAAGGAATATTACTCATCAAGCCAGCAAATTAATTTTTAAGATTTTTTTTCCCCAAAGCAAACCAACATAATTATAATGATTTATGTGCTTTGGGCTATGGAGCAGACAGGTGAGATGATTATAGATAGTTTTATAAAGTAGCACTTGATTTTCAGTGATGGACCTTGATGCATGGAGCAGGCAGGATGACAGATAACAGAACAGAGAAGGTCACTGACAAAATCAAATCTTCCAGGGGCATGGCAGCACAGTATCAGCAATGCTGATTAGGGAACCATTACTGTAAAAGCACTGCTGCTTGCCATAGATGATATTCTACATGCCAATATTGACTGACTTTTTGGGTATAGAATGAGTAGCAGCCTCACATCTTTTAAACCGTATGTAATTATACTCACCAGAAGATTCATTATAAAAATTATGGGGGATCAAGTGTTCTTTATTCACAGCTGTAGATTTGGGAATCACAAACCACCACTAGTAATGAGACAACTGTTTGGACTGTAGTCTTCGGCTGCCTTTCATCACTTTCCTCTTTTTAGTCTAACTCATCACCACAAATGTCACAAGTCTTCCCACACCTCCTCTTCATCCCCAATTTACACCTGCTTAGATTTCAGAGGATATGAAGTGGTTCTGAAGATATTTTTCTCTGTTTATGATTATCAGGATAAACAAATTACATTTTTTTTTTCTTTTTAAAATGTTACTAAAGCCACAACAGTAAAATCAGTCTGTATGTGCAGTAAAGCAAGTTTGTTATACTCACTGTGGAACCTAGGGGGTTATTCCTCTGCATTGTGTAAAAAAAGCTGTTTGATCCTGTCTTCTCTGATCCTCCCCTTCTTCTCCTGATAAGACATATCATGTGGAGTCACTCTGCACATGCTCAGTTTGGTGTGTATTGCTAGAGGGATTTTCTTTTTCTTGGAAGAGTGCATGTGATCAGCACAAGGCCAAACAGCACTGTCCAGACAGAGGCCAGGGGTTCTGCATCCTCCTAGAGAAAAAATGAAAACTCCTCCTACAAGCTTTAATCAGTGCACTGCTGGACACTGATAGAAGTCACAAGACTGCTCTAACTGCTTATGAGAAAAGGTATTTAACAGTTTATATTTACTAAAAAAATTGAACTTCCATGTGCTGTGTACTGTGGGAGACCAGATATAGTGAATGCAGGGTATGGGATTTACTGACACTTTACTTTAGTTCTTTTGAGCCAGAGGGTAGAGCTGTGAGCTGTTTTTTATGTGTTATAACAAAAAAAAGTACGATTTACAGAGCCCAATAGCTCAAGCTGCTGTAAAAAAAAAACATGCAAATGAATCAGAATAGAGACTTACCCTTGTCACTCTCTCAGCCCTAATCCTGCCTTCTCCTTTTGGAAGTTTCAATAAAAGGAGATAACTATTTTTGTCTTTAACCACCTCCCGCCCGCCATATAGTCCAATGACAGAGCACAAGGTGGTTTTCTCGTTCTGGGAGGACATCATATGTCCTCCCATTCTCACACTGCGCGCATAGCGCGGCTCAGGGAGCGCGCAGTGCGGTGATTGGTGGTGCGCTGTGTCCGATCACCGATCTACGGAAAGAGCCGAAGATGGAGGCTCGGTCATGTGATCAGCTGTGTCCAATCACAGCTGATCACATGTAAACAAGGAAATGCCGGTTATCGGCATTTCTCTCCTCATGAGCTGTCACGCTGACAGCTCGAGAGGAGAACCGGTAATCAGCATTCCACGGAGGGGACATGTACACTGATCATCAGGGCACTGATGATCAGTGTGCCCTGATGATCAGTGTGGCCCCAGAAGTTCCACCTGTCAGTGTCCATCAGTGCCAGCTGCCAGTGCTGAACAGTGCCACGTGCCAGTGCCACATCAATGCCACATATCAGTGCCTACCAGTGCACATCAATGCCACATATCAGAGCCCATCTGAGCTGCCTTTCAGTGTCACCTATCAGTGCCAGTCAGTGCCACCTATGAATGCCAATCAGTGCCACAGATCAGTGCTGCCAATCAGTGCCACATATCAGTGCCAGTCAGTGCCGCCTATCAGTGCCATCAGTGCCGCCTATTAGTGCCCGCCAGTGCCTCCTATCAATGTGCCAGTCAGTGTCGCCTAACAGTGTCAGTCAGTGCCACCTAACAGTGCCAGTCAGTGCTGCCTATCAGTGCCATATATCAGCAGTGCTGCCTTTCAGTGCCCATCAGTGCTGCCTGTCAATGCCCATCAGTGCCACCCACCAGTGCCCATCAGTGCCACCTATCAGTGTCCATCAGTGTAGCCTATCAGTGCCCATCACTGCGGCCTCATTAGCGCACATCAGTGAAGGAGAAAAATCACTTATTTACAAAATTTTACAACAAAATCTAAGAAAAAACTTTTTTTTTTGCTAAATTTTCAGTGGTTTTTGGTTTGTTTAAGAAAAAAGAAAAAATCCAGAGGTGATTAAATACCACCAAAATAAAGCTCCATCTGTCACAAAAAAATGATAAAAAGTTCATGTGGGTACAGTGTTGCATGACCGCAATTGTCATTCAAAGTGTCACAGCGCTGAGAGCTGGAAATTGGCCTGGGCAGGAAGGGGGTATAAGTGCCCTGTAGGCAAGCGGTTATATAACCTATAGTACTCTGGTAATACTTTGCCATGTAATAAATACAATGCAGTGCTCTGCTTTGCAAAATAATGCAAATAATGCCCTCTCTGAGAATGAGCAACTGAAAAAAATAGGCATTTATTTACAAAACAGAGCACTGCATGTTAATTCATTGAGGATACTAAAGCACCATAGGGAGGTTTGCAGCAAAAGACAGTAAAGGTTACCTAACCCTTTAGGCCGCTTCACACAGCAACGGAGAGCTTCTGGAGCAGCATGGTGCACGATTCAGCCCATCACACAGCATGCCCCATTCTTTTGTACAAACTTCATTTGAAGTGCCCCTTCTTTTGTACAAACTTCATTTGAAGTGCACAAACGGTACACATCATTCATGGCAATGTACAAAGCAGCACAAAGTGTACTATTCATTGCCATGCGATTCGGCACTCTGCATTGCACGACATTCCAATTTTTCATTAATTTTTTATTAATATTTGCGTTGCAATATGAATGGGACACATAGGAAAGAAATGTTGACAATGCAGTAAAAAAAGGTCAGTGGACCGGTACAGTATAAGTATTCATAGTTTAATTTCACGCAGTGTGACTTATTTAGCCCTTAATATAATAATATATTTGTAAAGCATTGCAATGTATAGTATAACTATTTATATAAAATACTACATAAGTTACATAAGTTGTATGGATTCTCACCCTTGTGCAATTATACTTACAAGGGATGAGAAGGAAAATTAATTTGCACCTTGCGTCAAAAGTTAAAGGTGGAACATTAGCTATCTCACTAATTCTGTGAATCCAACCTGGGTATCCAGTTGACCCTTGGCCAATTTGGGAACTGCATCTGATATGCTTGCCAATGAAAAAACTTTAACTGCTGTTGTTGATATTTTTTTTAGATTGAGGTGGTACTGGAGTGTTGATTCTCATTGCCACCTTCGGCTGACATTTCTTTCTAGACAATCATGACAGAAAAGACAGTAATAATGTATACTGTTTATTTTGCCTCATTTTACTCCGATTGCATGTGGGAGATTGAGGCTCTGGTTGACAGAGACACTGAAACTCAAGGTTCCATAACCGGTGCAATATTTTTATTTCGGCTTGAAAGTCAGAATAAATACATTATATGTAAAATAAACCTGTTTACTTTTGTACAAAAATGGCTGTTAAAAAAAAAGTTAAAAAATAAAATTGTTTTATGGAGGCCAGCAACCCATTACAAAAAAGCATGCTGACATGGTCAAGAGGTTCACTTTCTCAACAAGACTTTAAAGTATTGAAAATACGTGAACTAAGTGGCTTTGCCGAAAGATTGCTGGTGATAGGCACATTGGTCTCTAAGGTTTACAAAGAATGCTGCACAAACAAACACTTAAAAAGCCTAAAAAAAGAAAGCAAATACAGCAAATGGCATGCCTTTGGTTAAAGGAGAAGAGAGAAGAATGGTCTAATGCTAGTAGGAATTGTTGAAATCAGCACTCTTTACAGCAGTAGTAATGTGTCAGGACATCTCTGATCCCTCCAAAAAAAAAAAAAAAAAACTAATACTACTACCAATAATAATGTGTTATACATAGCTAGTCTTTGCTGTGCATGACCTTTGCAGATCCTCTTTTAACATTTGATGAAAGTTCAATTTGACATATGCAGCACACATAGTATTTGCTATCAACTTGATCAAACATGGATTTAAATCTTATGCACCTTATTCAGTAAGCTCTAGGGAAAATTCCCCTGCAAAGTGAACTATTTGTCTACTGCCATAAAAAAAAGGTAACTCCACTTTCATAAGCAAAAAATAGCAAATAAAAAAAATAACATAACACAAAATTGTTACATAAGTCATAATGTAATTGAATGTTATTAAAAACTACTTTCATTTTCAATCTTCAGCACTGTACAATACAAAGCAATGTGGCTACCTGGAGGCATTTTGTACACAGATGGGGTACAGAGCTTCTCCAGAAATGTTATAACCTGGTTATGTGACCTGACTTATTGAATTTTACCAGAATTCAGCACTAAGTCAGATTTTGGGCATCCTCTGCAACAAAAATGTAATTTTTGGTGAGCTACTCTCAAAGGGAAATCACATGTAAAGCGATGCAGATTTTGTCACCCTCACCCTGCCAGTGCAGCAGCTGATTGATAATGATAAAATCACTCCCTTTAGATTCATTTTGCCAGCTTTAACCAACGCACATTAAAACACAAACTATAGTAATATGCAAAAACTGACACTACTATGTCTTCATTCTCATCTACTGTATATTCCCTCCTTACCAAGCCATAAAACACTGCAATCAGCATGTCCTTAAAGCACTTCCCGACCGGCCGTTGCATATAAACGGCCGGACGGACGGTGGCAGTGCAGGGTCGGGCGGCCGTTTATAAACGGCCTCCCCGCACCCTGCCTGTGTGCGCTCCCTGTTAGCGCGCCAGCACCCCGCGATCCAGTGCCTGCTGTGTCCATGGATCGTCGGACGGGACCTCTGTACGAGGTCCCGATCATGTGATCACTGATTGGCCAATCAGTGATCACATGCAAAGTAGTAAGCAATGATGTCACTTGTGACATCATTGCTTACTACGTGTGAAATCTGTGAATGATCACAGAGGTCACATGGTACAAGGCTATTCACAACAGCTTTGTACCATGTGACAAGCTGTGACCAATCACAGCTCACTCAGTACTTCTCAATGAGTGCAAGAATGCAGACAGAGAAAGAGAAATGATTGCTTTTACATCCTATATGGGTGTAAAAGCAATCAGTGTAAAAAAAAAATCTTCATCACCCCCCACAAGTAGTACAGTGTCACCATGGTGACACTGTACTGCTAGGGTGACAGTATGTAAAAATAAAATAAAATAAATAATAATAATATAAAAAAATAAAATAAAAATGTAAAATTTTTTTTTTTTAAATTATAATTTTTGGTTATAAAAACTAAGTTGGATTTTGTTTTCTACTAAAAAGATAACAGAATAAATTTTGCCAAAGATGTATGATAAAATCTTATTTATTTGCAAAATTTTTTTAAAAAAACACTTTTTTTCTAAATTTTTGGACTTTTTCATTTACATAGCAAAAAAAATAAAAAACCCCAGCGGTGAATAAATACCACCAAAATAAAGCTTTATCTGTGTCAAAAAAATGGTAAAAAATTAATTTGGGTACAGTGTTCCATGACGGCGCAATTGTCATTCAAAGTGTGACAGCACTGAAAGCTGAAAATTGCCCTGGTCAGGAAGGGGGTAAAAGTGTCCGGTCTAGGAGTGGTTAAAGTGATACTAAACCCAGGACCCTGTATTCACTATACCTGGTCTCCCACAGTATACACAACATGGGAATACAATTATTTTAGTAAATATAAACTGCTAAATACCTTTTCTCACCAGCAGTTAGAGCAGTCTTGTGACTTCAGCAGAGCACTGGTTAAAGCTTGTAGGAGGAGTTTTCTTTATGCTCTGGAGGATGTGAAACCTCTGACCTTCTGTCTGGACAGTTCTCACTGGCTCTCTGCTGATCACATGCACCCTCTCAAGAAAAAAAAAACCTCTCTAACAAGATACACCAAACTCAGCATGAGCATGTGACCATGGATTCAGTCTGTATCAGATTTCAACAAGAGGAGGGGCAGAGAAGAAAGGTTCAAACAGCCTTTTTACACAATGCATAGGATTAACCCTTTAGGTTCCACAGTGAGTATAACTGCATGCTTTACTGCATATACAGACTGATTTTACTGTTGTGGGTTTAGTAACACTTTAATACACATATCTTTAGTGACATCTACTAAATATACTAGCATATCTGACTGTAATTGGCAGACCCATATGTGACCATCTTTTCCTGCTTTTTGTCACAACTGCTATTTGATCTCAGAGTTACATTCTTTGCTACTGTTGCTATCCCCTTTCCCTTAAATCTGTCTAATCTGCAGTTTATTTTTGGCCATTCATAAAAACTTAGTGAAAATGTTGAATTACAAGGTTTTATAAACAGACATGGTTTATCCATTTTTAAAGAAAAAGTTCTTTATTCTCGAGTATTTAACTTTTGTAGATTTAATTTGTGATTTCCCTAAATTCTAAACATTTGAAGAAGGTGTTGGTGCAGTAAAAATGACAAGTATTAATACTATGAATGATGAGGAATTGTGTGCCTGCAATTTATTTTCTTGCTTGAAAAATGAGATGCACACAGAGAGATAGCTTGGAAATATAGTTTTCTATACCTGACTCAATGCATGATGAAGTCTTACTCCATTACCCTTGGATCATAGATATCCTTAAGTAGCAGCTGCAGGCAATAAAAAGGAAAACCTTATCTCATGTAGTTCTCATGGCTACTGCCTTCCAGGGGCAGATCTCATTTGTGCAATTTAAAGGATATTCAAACTATGTTTTTGCCATGACTACATGCCTTTACAGACAGCAGTTTCCAACTGGTTTTTGCAAAGTATTACGCTACATATTTGCTGATGGAAAATGCAGAGTTCTTAGGAAGATGTGTTATTATATTAAAAGCAGGGCAGCCTGCCATCTG